ATTGTTAATGTCTTCCAGCCTCTCTACAGCAACTTCCTATTTGTATTCATGAACAACAGCAATACCTGCATGGCATTTCTCAGGGCCTGCAACATATTTTAAAAGCAGGTGACTTGTGAAAGTAGCTTCCTCCACAAAGGAAATGTCAAATTAGTGGCCTAGTTAATTTTTTTTTTTTACTTCTTGTTTCTCTCATACTCACAACACCTTGTTTTTCTAGCTGAATGACTTTAAACCAACAAATTGGGGTTTTAACAACTGCTGCTTTCCTTTATACTGACTATCATTTTTAGATAGACATATACTAGAGATCAGCCTAATGAGAGCAATCTTTCAGTATGTGGCAATGTTTTAAAACACGTTTTCTATAACATTCTAAACTGTTTTTATTTAAATAATAGCAGTATACAGTGGGCTTCTGCTTTGGAGAACTAAACAACAGTTGTGTTTTCCCTCTTAACCACGTCAATACATGGCACTTTTACCCCCTTCCTCCCCAGGCCAATTTTCAGCTTTCAGAGTTGTCGCACTTTGAATGACAATTGTGCGGTCATGCAACACTGTACCCATAAATAAAGTTATCAATATTTTTCACACAAATAGAGATTTTCTTTTGGTGGTATTTAGTCACCACTGAGTTTTTTATTTTTTGCTAAATAAACAAAAAAAAAGCCAAAACTTTTGAAAAAGTGTTTTTCTTTGTTTCTGTTATAAAATTTTGCAAATAAATAACCTTTCTTTATAAATTTAGGTCAAAATGTGTTCTGCTACATTTCTTTAGTGAAAATACCCCAAATTGGTGTATAATTTTTTAGTCTGTAGGAAAGTTATAGAGTCCACAAACCATGGTATATTTATCTGGCAATCGATCAATCGATGTACTGACTGCCAATCTAACTTCTTTTAGGCCCGGAAAATGCCAGGATAGTACAAATACCCCAGAAATGACCCATTTTTTGAAAATAGACAGTCCTAGGTATTTAGTAAGAGGCATGGTGAGTTTTTTGAAGTTGCAATTTTTTGTTACAATTTTTTGTAAAATGAAGAAATTAAAACAAAAAATTTCACAATTTTTTCTTTTACATATTGTCAGCAGTCCAGTACAGCGTTTAATATATAAGGGTGTGGCGGTGATAAAGGACACTGTCTGGTGAAAGTATGTAAAAAACTTTAAATAATTTTTTTTTTTCTTTATTACAATTTTTTTTCAACACACTGTGACCAGAGCAATACAATGTTAGCATAATAACATTAAACTACTGTGGGCAAAGAATTTTTTTTTTTTTTTTTACACATTATGATTGCTAATACCAATGTATTTCATTGATATTTGCAACCATTCTTACTGAATGAAACGGATTCATTCAGTCTTTTGTTGTGATTAGCTGTGAGCAAAGCTCATCACATGATACCGATGGGCTGTGATTGACCCTGTGTGTACCATGTGACTGCTTTGACCAATCACAGCTAACAGCACAATTGTATAAAATGGATGGCATGAAAGGAAGCCATCCATTCTATACGACTGTCATGTGAACTGCTGGGATTGGTCACAGCAGTCACATGACACTGGCAACAGGCCGGTGTAGTCAACTGTCATCGGCTGTGTCCCGTGGCCACGTGAGCAGAACCTTCTGACAGAACATCATATGAAGCCCACCCAGTAGTGTCCCGCCATCTTTCAAAGTGACTGAAAACAATGCATTCCTTGTTTGAGTGATATTGTATCTCAGTAGGTGTTTAACCCATTAATGACTAAGGGTAAAACAAATATTTCTGCCCAAACACAATTTTGCAACTTTGACATGTGTTAGTAAAACTGTACATATCATTGCAACTACTTTATGTATCCATTTGAATCATACCTTGTTTTTCAAGATAAATTGGGCTTTCTTTTGGTGGTAAATGGTAACAGATTTCTCCTGATTTTTTTTTCTCATTATTATCATTAGAGATGAGCGAAGTATTCAAAAATTCGATTCGACTGATTCGGCGAATTCGTGGAAAAATTTTGATTCGAGTCGAATATATTCGCTGCGAATTTAACTTATAAAAGGGTGTTTCTAGGCTTCAGAGAGCCTTTATATTAGTGCAGAACACTGTACCTTTAATTTAAATGCCCTTGGAGTCTGCTGGGGAAGAGAAATAATACTGACAGTCAGTATGACATGCAGATGAGTGCCGTCGATCTTAGAATCACCGCACACTTCACTCATTTGGGCAGTCACGGGGCCAAAACCAGAGTGTGGAGCCACAGTGTGGCGGTGGAGGCAGCAGCAATGGGAGGCCATACAGCACCCTATGACAAAAATGGAAACCACCAGCAGTGTGAGGAGACCTGAAAGTGGCACATGGCAGAGTGTGGCGATGGAGACAGCAGCAATGGGAGGCCATACAGGGACCCATGAGAGACTCTGGACCTGGCAGCAGCATGAGGATGCGGTACAGGGGCCCATGACAGATTACGGGCCTGGCAGCAGCATGAGGAGTTGGTACGGGGGCCCATGGCAGATTACGGGCCTGGCAGCAGCAATGGGAGGCCGTACAGGGACCCATGACACACTCTGGACCTGGCAGCAGCATGAGGAGGCGGTACAGGGGCCCATGACAGATTACGGGCCTGGCAGCAGCATGAGGAGTCGGTACGGGGGCCCATCACACTCTGGACCTGGCAGCAGCATGAGGAGGCGGTACAGGGGCGCATGACAGATTACGAGCCTGGCAGCAGCAACTTGGACAGGAGGACGTTCAGCTTCTGCACCGTCGGGTGCGTGCTCGCAAACTGTTGTCTCTTGGAAACGGATTCCAAGAAAGACTGCTGACGGAATCCGTGAAGAGGAGTAGCAGGAGAAGGAGCATCTGAACAAGCGGAATATGCCAACAAGCGACAACAGGGGCCCATGACAGATTACGGGCCTGGCAGCAGCATGAGGAGTTGGTACGGGGGCCCATGGCAGATTACGGGCCTGGCAGCAGCAATGGGAGGCCCGTAATCTGCCAGCACCCTATGACAAAAAATGGAACACACCAGCAGTGTGTGAGGAGACCTGAAAGTGGCACATGGCAGAGTGTGGCGATGGAGACAGCAGCAATGGGAGGCCGTACAGGGACCCATGAGACACTGTGGACCTGGCAGCAGCATGAGGAGGCGGTACGGGGGCCCATGGCAGATTACGGGCCTGGCAGCAGCAATGGGAGGCCCGTAATCTGCCAGCACCCTATGACAAAAAATGGAACACACCAGCAGTGTGAGGAGACCTGAAAGTGGCACATGGCAGAGTGTGGCGATGGAGACAGCAGCAATGGGAGGCCGTACAGGGACCCATGAGAGACTCTGGACCTGGCAGCAGCATGAGGGAGTGGTACAGGGGCCCATGGCAGATTAGGGGCCTGGCAGCAGCTATGGGAGGCCCGTAATCTGCCAGCACCCTATGACAAAAAATGGAACCCACCAGCAGTGTGTGAGGAGACCTAAAAGTGGCACATGGCAGAGTGTGGCGATGGAGGACAGCAGCAATGGGAGGCCGTACAGGGACCCATGAGAGACTGTGGACCTGGCAGCAGCATGAGGAGGCGGTACAGGGGCCCATGGCAGATTACGGGCCTGGCAGCAGCAATGGGAGGCCCGTAATCTGCCAGCACCCTATGACAAAAAATGGAACACACCAGCAGTGTGAGGAGACCTGAAAGTGGCACATGGCAGAGTGTGGCGATGGAGACAGCAGCAATGGGAGGCGCCGTACAGGGGGGACCCATGAGAGACTGTGGACCTGGCAGCAGCATGAGGAGGCGGTACTGGGGCCCATGGCAGATTAGGGGCCTGGCAGCAGCAATGGGAGGCCCGTAATCTGCCAGCACCCTATGACAAAATGGAACCCTGGGCTGGGGCAGGCAGAACCGCCGTATCTTTATCACGGCCCAGGCCACCGAATGGCGACGCTGCATATGCTGACGCAACGCTGTAGTCCCAACATGGGCCCCCCCCTGGCCACGCTTGACTTTCTGGCCACATGAGTCGACATACGGCTACGTTTACTTCCCTCGGGCGGCTTGACGAAAAATTGCCACACCGCCGAGTAGGAAACTTTGCCCCCGCTACTCCTCACTGGCTGACTGCTACTTCCTCCCGTGCACACCGGCACCACTACTGGCCGTGGTGGTAGGCTGCAGTGGAGCTGGTGCTCTACTCCGTGGCCGTTTGCCTCCACTGACACTGCTGCGACCCTGCTGCCTCCTGGCAGCAGCAATGGGAGGCCGTACAGGGACCCATGACACACTCTGGACCTGGCAGCAGCATGAAGAGGCGGTACAGGGGCCCATGGCAGATTAGGGGCCTGGCAGCAGCAATGGGAGGCCCGTAATCTGCCAGCACCCTATGACAAAAAATGGAACACACCAGCAGTGTGAGGAGACCTGAAAGTGGCACATGGCAGAGTGTGGCGATGGAGACAGCACAATGTACAGGGACCCTGAGCAGCAGCAGCATGAGGAGGCGGTACAGGGGCCCATGGCAGATTAGGGGCCTGGCAGCAGCAATGGGAGGCCCGTAATCTGCCAGCACCCTATGACAAAAAATGGAACACACCAGCAGTGTGTGAGGAGACCTGAAAGTGGCACATGGCAGAGTGTGGCGATGGAGACAGCAGCAGCATGGGGAGGCCGTACAGGGACCCATGAGAGACTCTGGACCTGGCAGCAGCATGAGGAGGCGGCGGTACAGGGGCCCATGGCAGATTAGGGGCCTGGCAGCAGCTATGGGAGGCCCGTAATCTGCCAGCACCCTATGACAAAAAATGGAACACACCAGCAGTGTGTGAGGAGACCTGAAAGTGGCACATGGCAGAGTGTGGCGATGGAGACAGCAGCAATGGGAGGCCGTACAGGGACCCATGAGAGACTCTGGACCTGGCAGCAGCATGAGGAGAGGCGGTACGGGGGCCCATGGCAGATTACGGGCCTGGCAGCAGCAATGGGAGGCCCGTAATCTGCCAGCACCCTATGACAAAAAATGGAACACACCAGCAGTGTGAGGAGACCTGAAAGTGGCACATGGCAGAGTGTGGCGATGGAGACAGCAGCAATGGGAGGCCGTACAGGGACCCATGAGAGACTGTGGACCTGGCAGCAGCATGAGGAGGCGGTACAGGGGCCCATGGCAGATTACGGGCCTGGCAGCAGCAATGGGAGGCCCGTAATCTGCCAGCACCCTATGACAAAATGGACACCATGGCTGGGCTGGGAGCAGGCAGAAAGTGGCCGTATCTTTGGCACGGTTTTCCCAGGCCACCGAATGGAGACGCTGCATATGCTGACGCAACGCTGTAGTCCCAACATGGGACCCCCTGGAGACACGCTGGACCTGGCAGCAGCATGAGGAGGCGGTACAGGGGCCCATGGCAGATTCGGGGCCTTGACAGCAGCAATGGGTAGGCCCGTAATCTGCCAGCACCCTATGGACAAAAAACTTCCTCCGTGCACACCGGCACCAGCTGGTGTGGTGGGAGGCTGCAGTGAAAGTGTGCTACTCCGTGGCAGAGTGCTGGCGATGGCCTCCTGGCAGCAGCAATGGGAGGCCGTACAGGGACCCATGACACACTCTGGACCTGGCAGCAGCATGAGGAGGCGGTACAGGGGCCCATGGCAGATTACGGGCCTGGCAGCAGCAATGGGAGGCCCGTAATCTGCCAGCACCCTATGACAAAAAATGGAACACACCAGCAGTGTGAGGAGACCTGAAAGTGGCACATGGCAGAGTGTGGCGATGGAGACAGCAGCAATGGGAGGCCGTACAGGGACCCATGAGCAGCAGCATGAGGAGGCGGTACAGGGGCCCATGGCAGATTAGGGGCCTGGCAGCAGCAATGGGAGGCCCGTAATCTGCCAGCACCCTATGACAAAAAATGGAACACACCAGCAGTGTGTGAGGAGACCTGAAAGTGGCACATGGCAGAGTGTGGCGATGGAGACAGCAGCAATGGGAGGCCGTACAGGGACCCATGAGAGACTGTGGACCTGGCAGCAGCATGAGGAGGCGGTACAGGGGCCCATGGCAGATTACGGGCCTGGCAGCAGCAATGGGAGGCCCGTAATCTGCCAGCACCCCTATGACAAAAAATGGAACACAACCAGCAGTGTGAGGAGACCTGAAAGTGGCACATGGCATGAGACACTGTGGACCTGGCAGCAGCATGAGGAGGCGGTATAGGGGCCCATGGCAGATTAGGGGCCTGGCAGCAGCTATGGGAGGCCCGTAATCTGCCAGCACCCTATGACAAAAAATGGAACACACCAGCAGTGTGTGAGGAGACCTGAAAGTGGCACATGGCAGAGTGTGGCGATGGAGACAGCAGCAATGGGAGGCCGTACAGGGACCCATGAGAGACTCTGGACCTGGCAGCAGCATGAGGAGGCGGTACAGGGGCCCATGGCAGATTACGGGCCTGGCAGCAGCAATGGGAGGCCCGTAATCTGCCAGCACCCTATGACAAAAAAAATGGAACACACCAGCAGTGTGAGGAGACCTGAAAGTGGCACATGTTTGGGGCATGATTCATGGCGGATTTAGTCAGTTGTGTCAGGAACTGGTGGTTTGAAATCCAGACTAATCCACGCCTGATTCATTTTCACAAACGTGAGTCTCTCCACACTTTGGGTGGACAGTCGTGTCCTCCGCGGAGTTACAATACCTCCTGCCGCACTAAACACGCGCTCCGATGCCACGCTACTGGGCCGGGCATGACAGCCTTTCAAGGGCAAATTCAGCTAGTTGGGGCCAAAGGTCAAGTTTCATTGCCCAGTAGTCAAGGGGATTGTCTACCTCGGTTGGCAGGGTGCTGTCCAAGTAGGCCTAAGCCTGTTGTTTGAGGTCCTGCTCCAGGTCCACCTGATGCTGATGCTGCTGCTGCGGCTGGTTAGTAGTTTCCTCACTGCGCTGGTGAAGAAAGCTACTCATCATCGACTGCAGACTGAGGCAGCCGCTGCTGGTGGAGCTGCCACTGCTCCTACCACCCCACCCCTCCCCTGCTGCCATGGCAGCGGAACGCGAGCGCACAGGGCCCACAGTGTCTGAGGATGGACGTTGGCGCACAAAGGCAGAGACCAACTGACTACATAGGTGGTTTTTATAGTACGTTATTTTGGCCTCCCTCTCAGCAGGTGTGAAAAAGGCCACCATTTTTGAACGGTAGCGAGGGTCCAACAAGGTGGACAGCCAAAAATCATCCCTCTGTCTGATGGTTATTATTCGGCTGTCGCTACGCAAGCAAGCGAGCATGCTATGGGCCATTTGTGCCAAGGAATGCGAGGGACTCCCTGCCTCCATCTCCACAGCATACTGCCACGGTGCGTTTGGGGTCCTCTGTCTCCTCCTCCTCTACCAGATGCTCCTGCTCCTCCACTCCTGTCCGCTGAGTGGAAAAACCACCCATTTTTCACTCAATAATTCCTGAGCACCAATGTCCTCCTCTACTCTCCTCCTCTTCTTCCTGTCCTGCCCCCACAGGGGTCATGTGGCGTTGAGATCTGTGCGCCACGTCTACCGCACCCTGACCAGCCATGTTAACAGCATTTGTTCCAGGACGTGCAACAGAGGAATGACGTCGTTCAACCCATAGTCCTGGCGACTCACGAATAGCGTGGCCTCCTCAAAGGGCCTGAGCAAGCGCAGGTGTCACGCATGAGCTGCCAATGGCTGACATCTAAGTTACACAGGGAGTACCTTTATCCGCTGTAACATCAGGAAATCTGTGATGGGCCTTTCGCTGTTTCGCAATGGGCGGTCTAACAGGGGTTGAATTCCACCTTTTTGCAACTGGCAGCAGCATGAGGAGTCGGTACGGGGGCCCATGGCAGATTACGGGGGCCGGCAGCAGCAATGGGAGGCCCGTAATCTGCCAGCACCCTATGACAAAAAATGGAACACACCAGCAGTGTGAGGAGAGACCTGAAAGTGGCACATGGCAGAGTGTGGCGATGGAGACAGCAGCAATGGGAGGCCGTACAGGGACCCCATGAGAGACTCTGGACCTGGCAGCAGCATGAGGAGGGGTATACGGGGGCCCATGGCAGATTAGGGGCCTGGCAGCAGCAAATGGGGAGGCCCGTAATCTACCAGCACCCTATGACAAAAAAATGGAACACACCAGCAGTGTGAGGAGACCTGAAAGTGGCACATGGCAGAGTGTGGCGATGGAGACAGCAGCAATGGAGGCCGTACAGGGACCCATGAGAGACTCTGGACCTGGCAGCAGCATGAGGAGGCGGGTAACAGGGGCCCATGGCAGATTAGGGGCCTGGCAGCAGCTATGGGAGGCCCGTAATCTGCCAGCACCCTATGACAAAAAATGGAACACACCAGCAGTGTGAGGAGACCTGAAAGTGGCACAGACTCTGTGGCAGACAGCAGCATGGGATGCCAGTTACAGGGACCCATGCACAGACCTGGGACCTGGCAGCAGCATGAGGAGGCGGTACAGGGGCCCATGGCAGATTAGGGGCCTGGCAGCAGCTATGGGAGGCCCTTAATCTGCCCGCACCCTATGACCAAAAAATTGAACACACCAGCAGTGTGTGTGAGGAGACCTGAAAGTGGCACATGGCAGAGTGTGGCGATGGAGACAAGCAGCAAGCAATGGGAGGCCGTACAGGGACCCATGATGAGACTCTGGACCTGGCAGCAGCATGAGGAGGCGGTATAGGGGGCCCATGGCAGATTAGGGGCTGGCAGCAGCTATGGGAGGCCCGTAATCTGCCAGCACCCTATGACAAACAATTGAACACACTCCAGCAGTGTGAGGAGGGACCCTGAAAGTGGCACAATGGCAGAGTGTGGCGATTGGAAGACAGTAGCAATGGGGAGGCCGTACAGGGGTCCCGATGAGTAGACTCTGACTTGACAGCAGGCATGAGGAGGCGGTTTTATAGGGGCCCATTGGCTAGATTAGGGGCCTGGCAGCAGCTATTGGGAGGCCGTAATTCTGCCAGCACCCTATGACAAAAAATTGAACACACGCAGCAGTGTAGGAGGAGACCTGAACGTGTCACATGGCAGAGTGGGCGAAAGGAAACAGCAGCAATGGGAGGCCCCACAGGGGGCCCCCTGAGAGACTCTGGACCTGGCGCAGCATGAGGAGGCGGGGGATTTTAAGGGGGGCCCCTGGCAGATTAGGGGCCGGGAGCAGCTTTTGGGAGGCCCTAAAACTGCCAGCACCCTATGTTTAAAAAATTGAACCCCAGCAGGTTTTGGGGGGAGACCCCGAAAGTGGCAATGGCAGAGTGTGGCGTGGGGGCAGCAGCAATGGGAGGCCGTACCGGGGCCCATGAGAGAAATCTGGGCCTGGCAGCAGCATGAGGGGGCGGTATAGGGGGCCCCTGGCAGAAATTTGGGGCCTGGGGAGCACTATGGGAGGCCCGTTTAAACGCCCCCCCTTTTGTCAAAAAATTGAACCAGAAAACCCCCCAGTGTGAGGAGACCCGAAAAATGGCAAAAAGGCATGAGAACCCCTGTGGACCTGGTAGGGAGAAAGAGGAGGGGGGGTACAGGGGGGCCCCTTGGGAGATTAAGGGGGCCCGGGGACAGCTATGGGAGGGGCCCCTAATCTGCCCGCACCCTAAAAAAAAAAAATTTTGAAACCCACCAGCAGTGTGTGGGGGGAAAACCTGAAAGTGGCACATGGCCCGAGTGTGGCGAAGGAGACAGCAGCAAAATTTTTTTGGGGGGCCGTACAGGGACCCATGAGAGGGAAATTTGGGCCTGGGGAGCTGCATGAGGAGGCGGTTTTAAAGGGGGC